TTCTGCATTCCCCCTACCCTTCCAAACCCAATCCCATAGAGGACTTTCCTTTCCAGTTCACTGTCCCAGCAGCTTTTCTGTAAGCCTCCCCAAAAACCAATTCAGTAAGTATTTCCTGAGGACATGTGGGGCACCAGGCATGGTGTTAGAGACTGGTGATACGCTGGTGAGCCAAAGGAACACAGACCCCGACCTGCGGGGCTTTAGGCTGGCAGGGAGAAAAACATGCAACAAAGCCCAGCAATGACCAGCAGACGGAAACGGAGATTTTCCTTTGCATGGTGCTGAGGGTTCCTCAACCACATGGCTGCCGACCTGGTCTGGCCCTGGAGGCCTGGGCCAGAGGGGAGTCAGACGGCTGCTCTGGACTCTGGGCCTATGCCATTCAAAAAAATCAGTATGAACTCATCACACCTATTCAGAGAATGCTTCATGAGTAAGCAGGAAAGCAACAATAAATATGTAGATTTTCAGGTTTGTTTAGCAGCAGGGAAAGAGGAAATGTATGTGTCGCTGCAGCTGTTCTGGCCTTTTCATTACTCAGGACAAAGTCGGCTTCCCCGGGCACCAGAGAGAGAAGTGAAAAGGCGGCTCTTCCTGCCATCTTTAGACTCTCCCTTCTATCCATGTCCCTGGTGGACCCAAAGAGGCAGCTACTTCTCCCTTCACACCCAACCAACACAAACAAGGAAAGAAGCCAAGAGGAAGGAAGCGGTCTGGCTTCTCTGTAAGGCTGAGGGGCACTTCCCCCCCAGACCTGAGGTCAGCAATGTGGCCCCCGCCTGTAGGTCCCAAGTGACAGACTCAGTCAGGACTTGGAATCAAGAGGTGGCCTCCATTCCCAACAAGAGTCCCTTTCGTGGACATCAGGCTTCTCTGCCTCCCATCACCCAGAGCAGAAATGGTTCTGAAACACTGAACAGGCAAATCAGTAAGCCAGTGTTTAAAACAAGCACCATGAGGGGCAAAGTGACAGGCATCTGGGCAAACATGGCCAACAGACACTGCCTGGCTTGCAGTGTGTGTTAAGATTGGAAAAGTTCACATGTAAATCTTGACATCCAAGTTCTCTTGAAATGTCGAATGATCAGACAACAGTGGGTTTGCCTTCCCAAGTAGAATCTGAGACAGGCCACTCTACTCAGAGAGGGCAAGCCCCCTCCTGGGTTGCCTCTCAGGGGCCCTGGACCCAACAGCCTACCGTTAACTTGCACCACCTCCTGACAGCCATACAACACAAGTCTCCGAGCCCTGTCCTAAGCATTACAAGTTTTATTATCTCCCACTATACTGAATGGAAAATCAAGCAGCACAGATTTAGAGTAAGTAAACATTAAGGGTTTTAAGATTTATATTTTCACCTCTCTTACAACAGTACCCAAACCCTAACACAGAAGCACCTGCTGAGGATAAGGGGGGCAGCAGGGAAGGAGAGGGTAAAGGAATAACGGCAGTCCACGGAGAATGAGCAGAAGCACGCCACAGGCCTGACACACCCCATCGTGGGGCCCACGCTCACTCTCATGACCACAGTCCAACCACAGGGCAGGACAAAGGCCTCAAACGTCTTCATTCCGTGCATGACGGCTTTGACCAAACACGGAGACTTAATCACACACACAAACCTGAACTTCAGACTCCAAGTCCCATCTGTAGGGCTGCTCTCCCACCTCCCTACAAGAAAGTGAAAAGAACTCAATTTCCTTTTAGCAGTTCCAGAGAAAAAGGAATCAAGGAGGGTGAATTCAACTTGCCCAAATAGATGTGAGGAAGCAGGCTGAGCAATCCAGGGCCCAGGCCTACTTAAAACACAACTTCAACAAAAGCAAACCTCAAGCTCACTGCAATTGCAGAGGCTGGTCACTTGTTCTATTATCTTTCATGTTGTCTGTCCTAACACAAATTATGAAACCAAAAAAGAGGAAGCACCTTTTAAAGAAGTGAAACCTGTTTCTGAATCCAAATCACACCACTTTATACAACTCCTAATCAGAAAATTATAGTTACATCATATTGGTTCTTCCAATATAACACAACTAATAATTATTGCTATTTATCATTCACATTTTTAAATATATTTATAGAGTGCTTTATAATTCTCAAAGTCCTCCTGTCCCTTAGGGATAGGTAAGTTGGCATAGAGCATTTGCCCTAACAAATGAAGGCACTACGGCACAGAGCCTGCAAGTAAGTTGCTTAAGGTCACACAGCTGATCATACTTAATACAACTCCACAGCTCATCCATGAATTCCAGATATATATATATATATATAAAGTGACTTGGTAGTCAAGAAAATAGTAGGCCCTGATGAAGAATAAACACAAAGATGAAACTCTGTCATTTGCCTGCTTATACATACACACCGTGGTATACACACACACACAGATGCCAAAGCCATATTGTAAAACTTACAATATAATGTTCAATAAAAATTAATTTAATGTTAAATATTTTAATGTTTAAAAATTATCCTAATGTTAAATTAACTGGATCTGCCTAGTTATTCTTTCTGACAGATTATTAAGAAAAGGTGACCAGTCTGAATTACAGGTTTAAAATAAAATTTTTGTCTTACTCATAAAAGAGCACTGTAACCACAAAGCAACCACTCACATCAACTCTTTCCATAGTTGAGTCAACATTCAACATAATTACTCCTAAACGGGCAACACTGACGTTCCTTCCAACGAAGTATGTCACGAGAACATCTGGGACTCTCGGTCCTGAGTACATGTCGCCCTCTAGTGTCATCCCCCTCCCCATATCCTGGGTGAATTCCCTCATTGGAGACAACTGTGCTTTAGAGAGCTTATAGTGTGATTTTATTCACAAATACAAAACTTGGGGCGCGCCTGGGTGGCTCAGTCGTTAAGCGTCTGCCTTCGGCTCAGGTCATGGTCCCAGGGTCCTGGGATCGAGCCCCTCATCGGGCTTCCTGCTTCTCCCTCTCTCGCTGAGTCTCTGTCAAATAAATAAAATCTTAAAAAAAAAAAAAAAAAAAAAATACAAAACTTGGGGCGCCTGGGTGGCTCAGTTGGTTAAGCATCTGACTCAATCTCAGTTCAGGTCTTGATCTCAGGGACGTGAGTTCAAGCCTTGAGTTGGGCTCCATGCTGGGCGTGGAGCCTACTTAAATATATATATATGTATATATAATTTAGGTAATTATATATACATAGATATAAAACTTAATTTCTGCCCTTGATATGACACTCATCATTTCCTCTTAAGAGTGCTAGTGAATAACTTAAGTCTCTGTGGGTGAATTGGGCATGTAATTGTGAAGTTGGGCAGTTCATTCACTAGAAAGGTCTACAGTGAGGCTAACCACAAAACTCAAGTGGTTGTGGTGCACTTGCTAAAATGCTCACAAGAGAACAACACAATCTTTACTCAACACTTGGTGCAAGAAGCTTAGGAGTCCAAAAGGACATCTTGAATTTTAGGTATCTCAACTTTCCTTCCAGGTATCTCACTTCAGTATATTAAAAACCTTAGTAGTCTTGCAACCTTTTATCTAAGAAAGTCTTTATTACAAATGACCACCATAAAAGAACACAGTAACACCTTGTGTCAATTAGCAGAGAATTGTGCAAACTTATAATCAGTGTACTCTACGGAAGTACCAAAGCATTGCTGAGACTTCACAATGAATGAGAAAATATGCTCAGTCTGTACCTCACTCAATATTCTGACATTCTACTTGGCAGCAGTGAACTTGACACCTTATCTTTGAGAAGCAGGGTGACAACACAAATTATTCCAGAAAGAGGAATAACCTACAACAGGATCACATCAGGTTCACATCAGGGTGGGATAAGGAAAGGTTTTGGGTTACTGTTTCTGTTGTTTAATCTCTCCTTTCCCCATATGCATTCCCAAAGGCTAGTACGAAATCAAAGATAATAGTAATCAGTCAACTAAGGTGGTTCCTTGAAGGCAGGTACCATGTCTTAAAACTTCTTCATTCTTGGTGCCTAACACAGCCTGGCTATACCATGGGTTTTTGCTTCCCATTGCAAAAAGAAGACAAACTTGTTCATTGTCCCAAAATAAGGTTGAGGGGAAAAAAATTGAAAAACCTTTGTTGATAGGGCAGTTCAATAATGAAACAATCTAATCCAAGAAAGCATAAGATAATAATTCTCTGTGATGGTTAATTTGGTCAGGCCATGGTACCCAGTATTTTTGGGCAAATTCCAGTCTAGATGTTGCCGTGAAGGTATTTTTTTAAATGTGGATAAGATTTAAATCAGTAAACTTTAAGTAAAGCAGATTATCCTCCATAATGTGGGTGGGCCTCACCCAATTTGTTTAAGGCCGTAAGCGAAAAGACAGGTCTCCGAGGAAGGAGTTCTGCTTCCAGGTGGACTTCAGACTCAAGACTATGACATCAACTGTTCCCAGGGCCCACAGGTTGCTGGTCTGCCCTGCACATTTCAGATTTGCCTGCCCTCATAATCATGTGAGCCAATTCCCTAAAATAAATACTTCTTTCCCACTTACATATATGTGTGTATACATATATATGTGTACACACACACACACACACATATTTGTATATATTTCCCCTTCCCCATACTGGTTCTGTTTCTCTGGAGAATCCTAATACGTTGAATACAGATTTTCCAAAGACCGTGACCACAATATTCATTCACTGCTCTAATATTAAAATAGACTCCCCCTAAGTCAGAGCCAAACCATTATATAAAGTCCAATCACTAGATGAAGGATATTCTGCTAGAACTAAAATGATGGGGGGGGGGATGATAAAAAGTCCAAGAAAAATCTTTCCAACAAATACACCTAGGTTGATCAGCCCAAAGGACATTTCATTTTAATAATCTGGGGGCATTTTAGTCCAACAACAAAATCATTTCAGGGTGACACCTTCATAATCTCTTACACTTCATAGAAAAGGCTTTGCCAGAATTTACTGAATGAAAAAAAAAAATATGCTGAGAAAATTTAAATGAAAAGAAGAAAAATATGAACTACCTCTTGGTTATCTTTGTTTTGGTTTGCCCAGAAAATCTTATGATAAAGCGTCTCCATTGAATTGCTGGAGTCAGTCCGGTCAAAACAATGTCGATCCAACACTTCCAACGTGTGCAACACCCGACTGATGGTCACCCCTGGATGTGGAAATTAAGCAACTGTCAAGAGGTCAAATAAAGTCACAACAGCGTAGTACAAAATCATCATTAGGCAGGGCAAAAGGGATTTTAAGAAAGCATCGTTCTCGGCATGTAAGAATTCCCAATGAAACCAAACCTGACATTCTCGACAGCCGGGAGCTACAGGGCACGAAATGAAGAATGCCCTCAGAAGTCAGAAGGTGGCTCCGCTAAAAAGCATCCTTACTCACTATGTGGACGGATAGTTAAGAATCAGAAATGCAGCACGAAGTCCAACATTCAAAAGCACCCCTTCTTCTCTCGTGTTCCGTACCTGCTGTTGATTCTTGGCACTTGTCAAAGGACCACCGAACCTCCACTGCACGGCCTCTTTGTTTGATCTGCTGTTCCGCCTCGTAAATCCTGGCCCGAACCTGAAAGATAAGCACTTCCGCTTAACTTGTGCTTGGAGAGCCACAGTGGCTGTCTAAATCAGGTCAGGTTTCCCACATGAGCACAGCAGCGTCCTACAGTCCATCTCGACTACATCATAGCAAATTTAGCCTGTTGTCCAAGAAGTGCCCCTTAAAATTTACAAGTGGTGGTTCAATGCCAGTTTTCAATAACAAATGCTCACCAAAAAAAAAAAAAAAAGTTTGCTGTACAAGTGAAAATTTTTTTAGGATATCATATGGAAAGGTGAAAGCTCTAAAGTATCATTTTTGAGCCATTCTTCTATGTATGAAAACAACGAGGCATGTTTCATTAATTTAAGAAAAATGCTTGCCAAAAAAACAGGGATCTTATTCTCAACCTTAGTCACGATCCTGCGGTTTAAGTTTCTTAAGTCTCTGAACCAAAAAAACCCAGCACTAATAAAACTAACTCATAAAAACATAGTTACTAAATATCACAGATGACCAACTAGGAGCGCTGTGGTCATGTATTAGAACCACCACTGTAACTACCCTCTGGGTGGCAGAACGCTCTGCAAGAACTGCCCAGCAAGAGGGAAAGAAGAAAGGGAGCAACGTGATGAACTTCTGTGGTTCAGAGAGGTGAAATACTTCGCCCAGGCCCCCCAGAGAGATGGGGAGCAGGGCTGGGAACGGTACCCAAGCACCTGAGATGCTGAAACCCACCTGGCCCACTATGCTGTGATGCCTCTCAAGAATGAACACACCCATCAAACCACCATAACAGGAAGTCTACCTGCTGATTGAAAGCCGTGTTCCCACCCGGCATGGGGAGGCTGGAGGGGGCCACCTGCAGCAGATCCAGGGGCGAGCCAGGGTTCGCGCTCTTATTGTCGTTTGTGGAATAATTCCACACCAAGGCACTTGGGCAACAGAGAGTGACAGTCTGGAAATGAAGCAGGAAAATCCAGATATTTAAAGGAATGAGAAAAGTGCAACAACTTAAAAGTAAAAATGATGCCTTGTCATAACGATATTATAGTTTCCTACCAGTGAGTTTAAAATATGGACTGCTGACCCCATTCTCAACTTTTCAAGTTCTAAGACAAAACTAAGAATTATTAATTTGAGGGACACCTGGGTGGCTCAGTCGGTTAAGTGTCTGACTTCAGCTCAGGTCATGATCTCAGTATCCTAGGATCGAGCCCTGTGTCGGGCTCTGTGCTTCACGGGGATTCAGCTTCTCCCTTTCCCTCTCCCCCTGCTTGTGTGCACTCTCTCTCTCAAATAAAATCTTTAAAAACAATTATTTTTTAAAGATTTTATTTATTTATTTGACAGAGAGAGCACGCGCGCGAGTGAGCACAAGGGGCGGGGGGGCAGAGGGAGAGGGAGAAGCAGGCTCCCCCAATGTGGGGCTCAATCCCAGGACCCTGGGATCATGACCTGAGCCAAAGGCAGATGCTTAACGGACTGAGCCACCTACGTGCTCCCCAAAAAAGAATTATAAATAAAGGGAGGAGTACAGCTACTGAGAAATCAAGGAGTATTATAATTCATAAACTAACATTCCAACACAGAAAACCTAGGAAAGTTAATAAAAACACAGTAATCATCACTGAAAAATTGTCACTTAAAACAGTTTCTTCATTCAATTAGAAAAATGAGATGGAATTAGAATATGTCATTTCTAAAGTTATAAAATCTAAAAAGGAATTTTTTTTTTTTAATCTAAGAAATAATCTCTGAGATAATGCAGGAAGTAGCTTCATAGATGCTGGATAGGCAGTAACCCTGGACCAGCGGGTGGCAAATTTTCTATAAAAAGCCAGACAGTAAATGCTTTAAGCTTTGCATGTCACCTCTAATTTCTGTCACATATTCTTTTTTTGTTTGTTTTACTAACTCACTGAAAATATAAAATATATTCTTAGCTCCTGGGCTGGACTTGGCCTCCAGGTTGTGGTTTGTCTATCCCTATCTTAGACCCTTGAAGACATTTTTTACTCAACCAGCTTGCATGAAGCACTTTCTAGGACCACCTCACTCACAGGTCACAGCAACCCCATCAGGGAGGTAGTGCTATTCTCCAATTGTACCAAAGAGGAACATGAGCCACGGAGGAAATTTAGTAACCAGCCAAACTGATTTCAGCACACATGCTTGGAACCACTATGCTAACCCTGCTGCCTCCTAAATGGAGACGAAATATTATGGCTCCAGCGTAATTAAGCCCTTACTCTGTACTGTGCGCTGCCCTGGAAGCTTTCAGTCATCGCAACCCGAACTCTGTGTGGTAATGAAGTAGGAACTGTCACCATTCCCCTCACGCCCAAGAAACAGGCTCAAGGTTCGAGTTAGTCAGTGGCAGAGGAGAGGCTAAAGTCAAGTCTGCAATGATTCTTTAAAAAACAGGTCTTAACCATCATGCTGTGGTGCCACTTGACAACAGACTGTGAGCTTATTAGAGAGGGAATGCAGTATTTCCTTTTCTCTAAAATGCAAAATTAAGTATTAAGAAAACTAGATTCTGAGGTGTAGGGGACGTCTGGTGGAAAGCAGATGGTAGACGTGAGGAATGTCAAATCCCTGAGCCCTACCAATGTATCTGCCTCCACTGGTCCACATCCCCAGCTCCCTCCTCCTGTGTGTGAGCAGGGCGGGGGGGTCTCATCTCCTGTCCATGATGGCACTCTTCCCAGTGTTCTGAATTCCAAAGCCTCCAATATCCAAGGTGCTGATCTCTCAAACAACCCGCTTCTCCTGTTCTCTCTACCTACTAGTTTACCCTCGCCTCAGAAAACAAACAAAACCTTTTAAAACTCTCCACTCGCCTAGCAGCAATCTCTCTCTTCCCTTCACAGACATGTTTCTCCAAAGAACAGGTAGCATTATTTCTCCCCATTCTTCATCGCTCCTCAACCCACCTCCATATGGCTTCTCATCCACAACTCAACTGATCATCAGTGACCACAGCCTTCCCAAAGACAATCCAGCCATCTTCTTACCAGACTTCCCCAAACCGCTGGGTACTGCCCACTACTAACTCCTTTTGGAAACTTCCCGCAGTACCTAGAGAAGCAGCTTAGCACGGCGGTGTAGACTCTGGATCCAGACTTCTGGGTGTGAACTCCAACTTTGCCATTTGCTTGCTGTGTGGCCTACACCATTTCATCACTAATGCTGCAGCAATAATTCTGGTTCCAATCCCACAGGATGGTTCTGAGAACTAAATGACTTAATATAGGTTGCAATTTACAACAGTGCTTAGAACACAATAAATGCTATTACTAGGATTGTAACAGAATCATAACAATCCCGGGGCGCCTGGGTGGCTCAGTCAGTTAAGCGTCTGCCTTTGGCTCAGAGCACGATTCCAGAGTCCTGGGACTGAGCCCCATGTTGAGCCCTCTGCTCAGTGGGGAGTCTGCTTCTCCCTTTCCCTCTGCCCCTCCCCCATGCTCATGCTCTCTCTCTCAAATAAATAAAATCTTTAAAAAAAAAAAAAAGAATCCTAATAATCCTATTTTTATTCTCACTGTCCTTGTCTCTATAACAGCACTCCCCACCTTCTGTTCTCTCCAGTCTGGCCACACTTTCATGGTCACCTCCATGGACTTCCCTTCTGCCACCTCTCAGCCACTCAGGCCCCCCGGGGTCCACAGGTCACATCTCACTGCTAACTCTTTGAGTAATCTCACCCCCTCTGGAGGTTTGGGTGAACCTAGTGGCCCTGAGTGATTCAAATCCACACATCTGGCCGGTTGTCTCCTCAACTTCAGAATGAGACATGTAATAACCTCTTAAACATATCCATTTAGTGATCTAAGGGATAAAATAACTCAACATAGTCCAAACACAAACTTACCTAGACTCTCCCAAACTGACTTCCTGGCCTTGTCTCTCTCTCCACCCCCCACCTCACCACTCCCACAATTCTTCCCTCTACTGTGGCCAAAACAATCTAACTAAACCACACAACTGACCATGTCATTTCCCTGCCTAAAACCCTGCAATGGCATCCCAATCATAAGACACATAGGAAATCTTCTATGCCCTGACCCTTCAACAGGCTTTATGCTTTATGTTCCATTAATACCAACTGGCACACACAATGACTAATAGACCTTCTGGCCCTTTTCTCACACTGTTCCCACAACCAACCGTTTTTAGCACCTTTTATATAAAAAAAAAAAAAACCTCCTATTATAATAAGCACTAGTCAGGGCCACTTCCTTCAGAAAGCCTCTCTGAATTCTGAGTTGAACTGAAGTTCCGCTGCTCAACTCCCTTCGTCCCCTGTGCATCTTCCATCAGCCTTTGCCAACGGTATACGGACACTGTCCATTTACAAGCCTGTCTTCCCCACAAGACAATAAACGCTACCAGAGCGAAGAATATGTCTTTATGGCCAGCCCTGCCCTGAAGCCCTGTAGTAAAGAGAAGGACACAGTAAGAGCCCAAGAAACGTGACCTGAACATAAGCTGGGAGCTCCTCGAGGACAGGGCTGGATCTCATTCCTGACAGTATCAGCCCAGTGGCCTACATGCTACTGGACACTCAAGGACCGCACAAGCAGTGATGCTTGGCAGAGGAACAGAGCCTGATAAGTTACCTGGATTTTAAAGAAACAGAGAAGGATGGCAACCAACTAAGATGCGGGCTGTGGAAGCTACGGAACGCTGCATGGAGGAACGGTCTTTCTAGAAGAGAAGTGATATAGCAGACTTATTCTCTGGGTTCCCTGAGGGTTTTATCATTGAACTGCTGCATGGCATACTGAAGGACGACTACAGTAACTTTCTTCTACACAGAAGTAACAGGTCTTCCACAGAGAAATAAAAACATGAGATGTCACTTTGTCAATTACTTGGGTGAGGAAGAAACCGGAGTGTGATGTGAAAGTTGAAGGTGCAATTCTCAACTCCGTTGTTTCCTACACTGAATTGTAACAGAAAATAGCAAGGGCCAGGGACTTACCTGCAGCATACAACTAAGTCCATAAACCAGGGGGCCATGCTGTGCACAGGACAGGAAGTCTGAGAAGGCCAGCTGCACGGGACTCATGACGGGGCCAGGGGGTCCAGGGCTGGGGGCCCCGATGCTTGAGTTGTTTGGTCCTATCATCATGTGGGGCGAGTGCACAGCAAGGAGGCTGGGACTATCGCTCAGCAGCAAGGCAAGACGCCGGGCACAAAAGTAGGCAAGACGACGAGACAGGTAAGCCGACTGAACAAACTCGTCCGAATACTGAGAAGCACAAGGACACCAGGCTTCAGTCACGTCTGATGCTAGTCAGTGAAACAACTATTTCAACACAGACTTTTTTCATTAAGGAAAAAAAAAAACCCTTCAAAAGTACTGTAGAGACCAGTGCCATCCACAGAAACAATGCAAGCCACATACTTAAAGTTTTCTAATAGCCATTAAAAAAAATAACAGGCAAGATTAAAAAGAGTAATGTCTTTTCTCTAGCCCATTATATCCAAAATGCTATCATTTCAACAGGTGATCAACACAAAAAGATTTAATGAGATATTATACACTTTTTTTCTGAACTAAAGCTGAAATCTGGTGTGCATTTTACACTAAGAGCACATCTCATATTGCACTCGTCACATTTTAAGGGCTCAAAAGCCACATCTGGCCAGTGGTTACTCCAACGACAGCATGGGCACAGACTGTCACAGGGAGAATACACAGGACACTAGCGCAGTGTAGTCCCCAGGGGGGGCACTAGGGAGAGGAAGAGAATCACTTTTCACTACATACTCTTGCATAGCGCTTCAATTATCAAGTTCATGTACTAGTGTTTCAAGAAAACTTTCTTTTTTTTAAATAAATTTTCTCCAAATAATCCAAATTTCAACAGATCTTAGAGCAATCATTAAAATAGGAAGTTCCCGGCCCCAGGGACTCAAAGAACATCAAAAAATACAGAAGACCCTCTAATCCTTAAAAAAGAGATGATTTGTTTTCACAGAAATCTGTGTGAATCAGGAAACAGTATTTAAAAATCTATCTCCTTAGCTCAGTGATGGGAGAAATCGGGGTGGGGGGGAAGGTGAGAATACTTTAGAAAGACAGGTGGTTAAAAACTATGAACATGACAACATAAATAATTGGCTTTTGATCACTTCATGTGTTGTAGCATCAAGACATCCTTCCCTTCCATTCCAAAAAGAATTTTTTTCCTCTTCCCCATCCACATACTTAGTCATCCTTATCAGACTCACTTCTTGCCCATAAAAATCAGTGGGCTCAGGGTCACACATACTATACCTGCAGCATTAGTGGTAATAAGAGTTTAAGAAGATCATCATCCATTGGTCTGATCTTTTCTAAAACATCCAAGATCCATGTCAAATATTCATGTTTCTCTAGCATTCCTTCCTTCAATGAACAAAGAAAAGTTACACTGATAACGTTAAAGCAAAACCAATTAACATTCAAAAAAGAGCACTATTACTCTTAACTCTTATGCTTAAGTATAATTTTACTATTATTATTTTTGTTGTTGTAGTAAAAATACAGTCTCCTGGATCACAGTCCAAATTCTAAACAAAACAAAGACCCAGTGTGATTCTGTGTGGTCGGTTTGGGGTGAGTATTTTTGTTGTTTTTGCTTTTTTTGGTAATCTGCTTCATTCTAAACTGAAAAAAAATTAATTCCTACGAGAAAGGAAATTCAGAAGCTTTCAGACTCCCAGGGCATGTCGAGCGCCTGGCTAGAACTTATACTCACAGGAGAAAACTTGTCCAATGGTGCTAATTATGAAGAACAAAAGCCCCCATCATACCAGCATCTCAGCAAGCAGCTGAAAATCCCATCATATCTCCTAATAACCCCTGCCTCTATCCTAAAATGAATTTCAGATACTATAACCCAGGTATGAAATATAACCTTAAAAATCAATATAATGTCCTAATTAACCATTAACATAAAGAAATGAAAAAAATTTATTAGAAAATAATGTATACATATTCCAACATAACTACACTAAAAGTAACAACACACCTCAAGTTTCCAAAATGCCTCACAGGGGTGGCATAGCCCCTCTTAACATAAGCGCCATTAACATTTTCATCTATTACCTTCATATAAACACACATGCATTCATATAAATACACAATTCTTCTATGACAGTCTACGCATATATGTATTTAATGTCATGTTCTAGTTTTGTATTATGATTCACATCATGAAAGAATCTTCAAAACAGAAACAAAAAGATATGTTTTCTGGGAAAGACACATATTTTTATGGTCACTGTGGCAACAAGCTTAGTAGTAAATATGAACTCCTACTTTATTCCTAGCAACATTTTCATACCTATTTATCACCAGTGCTCCACTAGCATGATTATCAACAATTTGTGTGAAAATATACTGATAAATTATAGCTTCAGTATTTAAAAGATTACAGTGTCACACACTGACGTGATATCAAGGTATCCACTTGTTGCTCATTTCTAATTTTTAAAAAGCTTAAAATCAAAGAGTTAAAAGGTTAGTCACAGAAAAAGTTCAATTTAAAATTTTAAGACCTGTGATGTGAACTTTAATAAAGAAATGAAAAAAATGGAATTTTGTATTTAAGGCAGAAGAGATGGCAAATGTAAGGTTCAAAAAAAATAAATCTTTCTAAACATGACTTTCAATGGCTACGTCATATCCATCCTCAAGATGTTTTTGTGTATTTACCCATACCCTTATTTCTGCACAATTTCCTCATGTTTCAGAATATGGCCAATTAAAATATAATAAACTTTTAAATTTAAACATTAATGTCCCAATTAAATTCATCTGTTTAGGACCCAACTGCCTCCTATAAAGGAGATATGGATTTCAGTGTTCCCAAAACATAAAGTAATCCTTCCAAAAATATTAAGCATGTTGAGAGACACTTTTTTCAAAGATGTGGACTAAATCCTCAGCTCAATAAAAGTCATAAAGGCTCAGAGAAGGTACCAAGGTAGTCCTCTGCTAAATGGAACTAGGATTTATAAGATGGTTTTTAACTGACTTAAAACTAACAATGCTACTTCCCAAAGAACCGGGCTTACTTTAAACTCTTAGAAAAAGTCACTTACAACCTGGAAATTATAAAGTTCTAAGGGGAAAATTTTGAAACCACACATCCTTTTTACCCCCTTCCTCTCTGAACAAGATAGCAGGTAGTGAAAGTCTCTGCTAGTCATACAACTTCAACACATTTCTCCCTCCTTGCTAGGAAAAGGCAAATAATAGCACAAGCGCCCTCTTCTGGTCCATATGATTTACATCAGCTTGTCCGAAGAGCATTCAGGGCTCGCTCCGTGCCCTTACTCATCCTCCCAACTATATTTTAAACTGTCTGTGAGCCAAATTAAGACGACCCTTCTATGGAGAAACTAAGCCCTAATGGAGATCGAGGAGATAGGAAGCACCAACACAAATATTTTTTTGAATAATTGTATCCAAATTTTTCAAAATAAGAGGTTTGGAAGGGATATTTAATAGAGAAATTACCAAAAAATTAACAGCATCAAAAGAGCTAAGATCATTGAAAGCTGGAGATCAATATATAGAAGCAGCGGCTGTCACCTCGAGGCAAAGGTGGTACCATGAATACAACTCAAGGTGAGAAATGTCAGACTGCTCTCTCTGAATGTATTTGGTTCATATAAAGATAGCGCTTAAACCGTAAGGACTTCGCTCTCTTCTTAAAAGCATGCTGTAGGGCCTTGAGGCTCTTGAGAAGGTTACCTGGAACATGTGAAAGGCCAGCTTCTCGTTGTACTCCCACTGCTTCATTGCCTGCTCCACATCCGGTGGCACCGGGACAGGACCATCCCCCGCGCTGGAAGCCACGTGGTAGAAGTCGGAAATCCTGGCCAGCTGCTCTCGGAGATATCTGGTAGATATTTGTGTCCACTCTGCATTAAAAACAAACAAACCTAAATTTCTAGACATGATGAATATAAGAATTAACGTTTTCTCCCCGCCTTCTGATTAGCTTAAGGATGTACATATAAAACAAACATCTATTATAGAAAAGTGGTTTTGGCATGTGCAAGCATTGTACAAAAAAGCACACCCACCCCAGTAAGGCAACGTGGACGGCCCTCCACCCCCCACAGGAATGTTGGCCAGCTCTTGGGTGGAGAAGGCAGCTCTCCCCGTGTGTCTCTGTGACTCTTAACGGAGGAGTAGAGATGCCTGCACTTGAGTTATGTGCATTTCGTGATGTTCCACGTTATGCAAACAACAGCACAAAAAATTTCAAAGCCACAAGCAGGAAACAGAGGAGGTGAGCACCTCAAAAATTTCAATTCTACTCCAAAGCAATTCAAAATCCTCCAAATGCATCTCTCCAAGTTGGATTTAAAACATGCCTAATTAAGATTTGTTCCATTTTTGTCCGTCTGTAAGAGGAGTGGCATTCACCATGGGCCGGCCCATGACAGCATCCTGACCTGCACTCCCCCTCCCCACACCCGCCAAAACACCAGCACGGCTGCCTCTTGGACAACCATCTGGACCTTCAATTATTCTACCAACACATGATACCTCAGAACTCAATCAGAAAGAGTAGTGAGGAACAAAAGGTAGGAGACTGGAAAGGAAATAGAAAAGTACCATTACAAAAAAAAAAATCACTAAAAATATTCAAAAATGTCTGCCAGAGGGGCACAAATTAAATCAGTGTGTTGCCTTTGGCAACCATGAGGGATGTGATGCCAACTTTAGCCCATTCTGTGGATAAAAATGTAATAATTGCATGCTCACAGCCAAATTTCCCCAAGGATTAGCGAAACAGCATTTCAGAAGAAACCACCCTACTGAAACATTACCACACAATGCTATTTTCCCATTATCCTGGCAACTGGCTCTCCCACCTTATTTTTAAAGGAACCAATTTTGACAAAAGTAAGAGCAAAAACCTAACATCTGTTGGGGATTCAGGGTTTTGTTTTTATTTTTTAAGTACTCTTAAAAGTACTTGACAACATTACCCAGAGAGAACTACCGTTAAGTCTTGGTCTGAACCACTTACTCCTCAGTGTGTCTTTTTTAAAATCAAAATTCAAATGCACATGTTAAACTCTAGTAATAAGCCAGTGCAAAAAGATGAACAGATACTAGGTCAACATTCTGTTCCTAATATAATATTGTTCTTCAGAAAGCACCACCAATAACAGATATTATCATTAAAATTAATCTATCGCCATTAAAAACATGACAGTAAATTATCAGTGTCATCATCTTCTGGTGCCCCCTTTATGGACTAATAGTCTCATGACACTTGTTTAACAAAACAAAATGCCAACCATCAGATGGGACAAGTTTAGCTTAGCTATAATAAGCAAAAACAAAAATAACAAGGATCCAAATCCTAGCTTTTGTGTGCCAAGCCTTGCTATTAACTCACTCTCAGTATGGTACCATCCTCAATACCGCACAGAATATTTTAGCCTCAGGAGCTAAAAATAACACACACATTCACACACCCCTACTTTGTCCAGGGTATATTTTCTTAAGATTGTTTCTTAAAATATGGAAGAAATATATGTTCACTACAGAAAATGTACAATGCAGATATGAAAAGAAAAACATCTGTAATCTCCTCACTCATAATTAAATATTTTAATATTTGTCTTTTCAGGGTTTTTTTCCCTTTATATGTGCTGGAATGTTTATATAAACATATGCATTTCTTTAAAAAAATATGCTGAATAGGACATTCCACAATCTGAATGCCTTTGGGGATTCAAATGGAATGCAAATGTAGCCCTCTTAGTAGTGTGTGTTAATTCTAACTGGCATTAAATTGTATCAATCAGGGAGATTCAGAGGTCTGGGACATAAGACAGTCTAGAGAGGATTAGTTTAAAAAATTAGGATGCACACAAAATTTTTATTAAAAATTAAAAACAGGGGCGCCTGGGTGGCTCAGTCAGTTAAGCGGCTGCCTTCAGCTCAGGTCATGATCCCAGGGTCCTGGGATCGAGCCCCACGTCGGGCTCCTTCCTCAGCGGGGAGCCTGTTTCTCCCTCTCCCTCTGCTTGCCACTCCACCTGCTTGTGCTCTCTCTCTATCTCTATCAAATAAATAAATAAATCTTTAAAAAAAAAAAATTAAAAACAGAGGGGCACATGGGTGGCTCAGTCAGTTAAGCGTCTGCCTTCGGCTCAGGTCATGATCCCAGGGTCCTGGGATCGAGCTCCGCATCAAGTTCCCTGCTCTGCGGGAAGCCTGCTTCTCCCTCTCCCACTCCCCCTGCTTGTGTTCCCTCTCTCGCTATGTCTCTGTCAAATAAATAAATCTTTAAAAAAAATTAAAAACAGAAAATTGCAAATGGCCACCAGTACTCTACCCCTTAAGATTATTTGGATTCACTGACCACCCCCCCCCCCCCCCCCCCACCCCCGCTTAGTTACGGCTGAGAATGAAGCTGAGCCCTGGGGGCAGCAGTGGCAGGACCCAGGGGAGTTTCTACCAAATGCCAGTCGCTTCAGCCCCTCCCGCCAGATCCTGATTTAACTGGTCTGGAGTAAGGGGCCCAGTTTCAGGTGATGAAAAGAAAAGAGGAATCATAGGGAAGATGGTGGGGATGAGGGGAATATTCAAAGGTGGAAAAAATGCAGACCATGATCAAGGAGGCCACTCTGCAGGTGGCGCCGCTCTACATTCAAGCAGCTCTGAGGATACAGCCACATCATTTGTAGTTCATTGATACTGAGAACTTCAGGGCCATGAAGGCAGATGATCAGATAATTTATGCACATAAACATGACTGAGAGTGGCGTCAGGGGGCCAGGACTGAAAAGAATGACTGGTCCCTTTGACAAAACTCCCCCTAGCTCCCTGAATCCTCTGGTCACTACTGCCTAACCCCCCAAGACAGAAGGGGTTTCAGACTTCATGCAGCTCAATCTAGCACTGTCTAGATCCAGGCACAGCAGGCTTATGCAAGGCCCCACAGCTAGACCTGAAGTACACCACCCGGTGTGAGATGCCCCACTCTAGTACATGAAAACACATAAATCGATAAACACATAAAGGTGAGAACAGAGATGTGCCAAGTTACATTAAAGATGATCCTCCTGGGCCTAGAATACCTGCAGTATTAAAAAGAAAACTGGGAGGAGCCCAGTAGGGAAGTAACATCCACCCTGGGGGCAAACACAGAGCATGCCAAGTGCAGCGGGGCTCAAGGAGAAGGTACCCTGGCCAGGAGACGTGAGCAGAGAACAACACAGGGCTGCATTTAGTGATTTTGGTAGAATGAACTTCGGAATAGGATGGCCCTGGTGCAAATTCTCATTCTGCTACTCGGCTGTGTGATGTGAAAAATGGTGTCTAACTTCTGCTAAGTTTCAATTTCCTCCTCTGCAATAGGAATCAATCTCTCTCTCTCTCTCACACACACACACAGAGTTACTGTAAGGATGAGTTACTTAGCATGATGCATGCAATGCAGAAACTGATCAACATGTGGTAGCTATCATCACCACATGATCGGGATGAAGAGTTTTTTGAAAACTCTCCCGTTCGATCTTGACTGTCAGAGGACAGCGCCTGTTGTCACTGATCTTAGACCCTGCCTCTGCTGCAGCAAGCTGCCAATGCCTAACTTAATGCTCTGGATAAGTATTTATGAAATCAATCCACGTCAGTTTCATGATTCCAAAACCTTCAATGGATCTGCACTCCTTCATGAATTAAGGCCAAATTCCTTAGTTAGGACTTAAAATCATTTCAAATACTACCTACCATTAAGTAGCTACAGTTGCTGCTCTCTCTTTCTCGGGCCTATAATGCTCTTTATCTACCATACCTTCTCTACTCGCCTGTGTTCACTTGTGAGAATTTTTCTGGACCCAATTCAAATGTCAAATCGAATATGTAGCCTTCTTTGGTCTCTGGACACCAACCCACCACCTAAAGGGGCTCTCCCTCGGATATATCACAATTGCCTCTTTCAACCTCTCTTTCATCTCCATAAAACTATGCCTTACATAGCCAACATCTAAGTATTGACTTGAATCAATACACTGTAAGATGCTCCCAAAATAACCACTAAATCAAGTCACTCCCCAATTACTCTGCCTCTCAAATCTTCCTACAAACATCTTTGCTTTCTAGTTCAAACTCATCACTGCACACCCAGCTTTCAAACACCATCTAGGAAATGCCAAATTCCCTCTCTAGCATGCTCTGTCTTTATTATAGCCACTGCTAGTCAATGCACTACAAAGGCCCGTGCAAAGAGTGAACTTTCAATTCTCTTTAATAAACTTCCAATAAATATATATGTGTGTCCTTTAATTTTGTGAGGCTCATTTTCCCAGCCAAAGTCTTTCCTCTGATATCAAAGCAAGCGGGAATTCACTCTGTAAAATAAATCCAATAGAGATTGTTTAAAAACTTCCACCAGTCCCAGAGAGTTAGGTGCACATTTTTAAGGTGATCCACTTGATAAAGAACTTTAGTCAAAGAGGACAGTCTCCTTGAAGGAGAAACCTATATCCTAGAAAATTCTTCCTAGGTACACCACTATAATAAAAATTCTTGCCTCTCCACAGGGAGAGCAGGCTGCTTCTCAGAACTGTAAGATGTAGAGGATTTCATCAGCCTGACTTTGGTGCAGACTGAAAGGTGGGGAGAAAACACTTCAGTGCATGCAAGACACAAGCACATTCCACCTCTAAATACACAGTAAGAATGACTGGAAGATTTTCCACCATTTTTCTCACTTTTTTTTTTGTTGTTGTTAAAATGCTTTCTTGATCAAAGGACGCCATCAATAAAGTGGAAAGACAACCTACAAATTAGAAGAAAATATTTGCAAATCATGTATCTGATAAGAGACTTGGATCTAGAATATATAAGGAACTATTACAACTTGATAATAAAAAATGGGCAAATGATC